GTTAGCTTGCCCTGTTTCCACTCGTCAATAACTTCTTTGCTATTTACAGCAATCTCCACTTCACAATCACTGAGATCACTTGGAAGTTTCTTCAGAACACGTTCCACAGCCTGGATCCCTAACACGGCGGTTGGTTGTTCTCTTTTAAACACCCTATTTAAACTACGCTGTTCCCCAGATGGTAAGTGAATGATAGCTTCCCATTGGAGCGGTGAGATGGACAAAGATACTCTGATAGTCTTGTCCCTTCTCCATGAAATAACACCATTCCAGTCGTCAAGAAATCTCCAAAATTTTATTTCTTGACGTAAACGTCGAGATAGGCTTGCTTGGAGTCGATTCCGCTTAGTTGCTTTTCTAATTTCTCTGACATAGAAGTTTGCTAATGGAAAAGCCTTTGAAAACCACAAACATTTTCCTTTCAGCTTTTTGAGCTGAGATTGTCGAGTGGCAAATGACTTACTTTTAAGAATTTCTTCTCTCAGTTTTTGAAATTTATCCTTTTTTTCCGGGGGAACCGAGAAAGACTGAGTAATAGAGTCTATGAGCATGCCAAGATGAACAATGCTAGTCGAAGGCTCAAAAACGCATTTTTGCAAGCCAAGAAAGTACCCCAAATTAACAAGGATTTTACAGACAACATAAACAGCAGCTTTTGCTGCTTGAAGACTAAATTCAGGGCTGCGTTGAGCAATTGGTAGAGACCAGCGGCCTTCTTCTGTTAATAGTTCTCCATTCAAACGGTCATCAATGTATAGGGAGCTGGCGATTCCCCGACTCCTAAAGAAGTGAGTAGCGCCAAGACCAACGGTTTGGTACACATACGRCGCGTTCTTCCAACCAAATGGCAAACTTGTACAAACTAACCACCAACCTTCCCATTCAATCCCGAAATACTCCTGCGAGTTTCGAGAGAGTAGAATATGATGATAGGCAGACTTGTCGTCGATCTTTGTCATGAACGAATTTTTATGCACAAAATTAGGGACCACATCCAGCGACTCCAAGGAAAAGGAWTTAGGATTATCCTTCATCCACAGGTTTAAATATCGTGCATCTATAACCAGTCTGGGCTTCGTTGGCTCTACTTTCATTGGAAGGACCAACCAAGGGGGCTTTACTCCTACCTCTCCTACTTTTCCCCAAAACCGGAATGCTCCAGATTCAAGGCCTTCCATGAGAGTTTGAGAGACAAAACTTGTATTTTGATAACAGGATTTGTGATTTGGGAGTTCTTTCGTGCTTGGAAATGGTGAATTGAATCTCTCACCATTGAATTCGCCCTCGAAATATTGAAAGAACTTTTTGATATCCACTCCTGACCGAACCCACTTCATAACATTGGCTTTGTCTTTGTAGCCATCCAAGATTATCTCCCACAAGTCAGCGTGCGATCGTAACTCCCCTGCCTTGAACGTAGCGGGATTTCTAAACGAAAGTGCTTTCAAATTACCATAATTTCCTTTTAATACATGTTCCACATCGGCCATAACCTCGTCTACGGTAGAAACGTCTTCCTTCTTGTTGCGGACTCCGTCATGGTACACCCATCTAACTTTTCTCTCTTGTCCTCTTTTCATTGCTTCTTGAGGATCGAATGTCGTGAGCTGCAAAATATAGACAAGAAATAAAAAAGTGATCGAGACCTCAGTAATATTGGAATTAATTATATAGTTAGAATAGTACGTACGTGGTCGAAAACTGTGCCTTATAAGTGAACGGAGCACAGTGCTGACGCCATCCGCGCGCGCGAAGTACTGCTAGATCCTGCTACCGTTTTTCTTTTTGCACAAATAAATTCAATACCGAAATAAAATTAGTAACTTTAAAATAAAAGGAATAAAACAGCTTTTTCCGAGCTCCGTTCAGTTATAAACCACTAAGGAAGTGCCTTAAGCACTCAGGTAGTGTGAGCCGTAGGCGAGTGCTTCTCCTTACACTTCTTTCGTGCTTTACACTTTCTGATTGTTTTATTTACGAACGGAGCACGGAAAAAGCTGTTTTATTTGTATAATCATCATGTATGAGGAAGTGAGCTTCGTCTAATATGAGTTAAAGAAAAGAGAATACTTGTTTGATATTATATCCTGCTATCCTGGCATGAAGACTTTTTGAAAGAAAAAATTGTGCTTATATGCTGTGGTATTCTTTATTAATTATCACTGATATCAGAGCTGTTATGAATCTCGCGTTCTAATAGGATGGGAGCGCGTGCTTTATGAGAGCACACTGAACCATTAATCATAGAATCAAATGTGGGGTGACGGCGCTAACCAATCACAAATGATCAAATTTAAAGCGGAAATGCATGTATTATGAAACCAAATTTTCACCCTGTATTTAAATATGAAATAATTAAAAACTTGATGGATGGATCGCTTTAATCTTAAAGTAAGCCTAAGCTATCTAATGTAAGGCAGTTTTGATCACTTTCTTAACGAGCTTGTTCTTCTGCACGAGATAGACCTATTTAGCCTCGTTGTTTGTTGTGCACATTTCAGACCATGTGATACCACTCTTGGGAGTTGATTATTTCATGGTAAATATTTTAACAAGTTCGTCATAAGAGAACAACTCTCGAGGGATGTCATGTGATCTGAAATGGGCAATTTGCATACGAAGCTAAATAGGTCTATTCGTTTTCGTTTACTAAGGTTTGACTGAAGACGAATGGTTCTCGGTCTGATCAAAACTAGCTGCACTTTCGAAATTGTCGTCCTTGGATTATGATTCCAATTAGTCAAAAATGCTTTGAAGTACAAAAACTGCAACATGAAGTACACAATTCAACACTACAACTAAATTGCTGGCAAGAATCACATCAGTCCTCGCAGTACAATCAAGGATTAGGTCCCAGGTCCCTGACACTTTTTGGCGCTCATGCATTGACAGTTTACGAAGGCCCCCAAAACATATTTTCAAAAGCTGAATAAAAAAAACCAAAAACCAAAAAACCAAAAACCAAAAACCAAAAACAAACAAACAAACAAACAAACAAAAAACAAAACAAAACAAAACAAAAAAAAAACAAACCAAAAAACAAAAACAAAAAACAAACAAACAAACAAACAAACAAAAAACAAAACAAAACAAACAAACAAAAACCCAAAAAACATTGCACCACGATAAACAGAAACTCATGAATTTTATTATTTCATTATTTCAAAGTGAAAAACAGGATGAAAATTTGGTTTCAGTAAGCACTTTAAGGTATCAGGATGTCTTCAAGACCATGTTTCTTTAAGTGCCCGAAAAAAGTCAGCTTTGTGTTTTTCAGTTTTGTAGCCCGTCCAGATTGGATGCGCACGCAACCTTGAGAAAACGGTCTATAGGTCCATCACGGAATCCTGGGTTATATGCCCGCAACGTATTTTCTGAGGAAAATGGCATGTTCACAGGAAAGAAAAAAAAACCATTATAAAGATGGAGATTTTATGGGCATTTTATGACTGGTCTGTCACAGCCAACCCAGTATAAATATTATGAGCTATCGAATCCGTCAGTAGTCTATTGTAAACACGTCTGACTAGGAAAACKCATTGAGACAAATATATTTTGAAAATATAAATATGTTAATTMAAATGAGTTTTAYTTTTRTTTTCAAAATTTTCAGTTTTATGGATGRCGTAATATTTAGAAATATAAATAAATATTTTAAAACAAAAATTTAGATAGATACGTAACGAACTCGAACCCGGAAATGTGTATATATWTTTTTTATCGGCCAAGCTTAAATTTGCTCGCTAATTTGTATTATTATAAATTTTAAAATGTTCCTACATCTACATCTACATTTTATTGARTTGATAAAATCGGTAAGATATCACATCAACTATAAAACAAATTTGCTACATATAAATATAAAAAATACTTAAAATATGTAAAATGTTAAAAAAAGCCCCGAATAATTAGTTTTGAATAAAGCTAAAATGTAAATATCTGCAAATCACGAAATAAATAATAATAAAACATATAAGGAATATATTCAATATTATGAGATCCTTATACTTATACACTCTCTCGGTTTTCATTTTTCACCGCTGCTTAGCTATATTGGAAAACCACGCAAACACCGGATTCATAACCATCACGTAACGGGAGTATTGTATAAAAATAATCGAATTCCAAATCGCTTCGTTCTGGTGATGCCAAACGATTTCGAAATCACGAGAATAAATATCTAGTTTTGSTGCGTTTGTATATCTAGGATAGAACTGGAATGTAAGAGAAAGATCAAAATCATAGCTAGATATATAATATTCATAACTATACAGGTTATAAATGATTTTAAGAAATAATAATAAACGATTTTAAGCATAAAGAATACCAGCCTTGCCATTGTTTACCTCCGTAGCCTCACTGTCCACTTCGCTATTGTTGCTCGCCATTTCTTTCTTTCCTTTCGTTGGGTTCGTATTTGAAAAAGCTAAAATGTGGCTTTTAAGATATCGATATTTGTACTGAATTTCGAAAGAACCTAATCTAGGCTTCAATTCGAAATACGAAGGAAAGAAGTAAAAATAACAACAGACAATTCCAGTAATCGAAAATAAGTTCTTATAATCGTTGGAGCAAGACAAACATTTATGAAAATAAATAATTCATGAATACGTGTCTTGACTCGTCGAAAATTACGCAGGAGGGGTTCTGAACTTATTAAGTAAAGCTTTAATACTAGGATAGGAAGGAAGAGAAGTCAAATGTAAAAACGTAACTAAAAGACAATTGAAACATTCATAAATATAAATATTTCAAGAACCTGTGTCTTGATTTAGTCGAAAATCCACTCAGAAGGAGTTTTGAGCTCCCGAACTAAAAATTACTGGGAGAGATAGGAAAGAAAGTCAAATGTGAAAGCTTAACTAAAGACAAACACTAAGCAAACAAATTTATTTTGAAATCTAGAACGTGTTTTGACTCGTTGAAAAATTACTCCAGTGGTTATGAACTAAGSTTTACTAAGAGGAAGAAATTTAATTTACAGCTGTAAATAAAAATTAATTGTGAGAGTGGAAAGAAATTATAAAACGCTATGGTACAGAGTTTTTACCAATAAGAGAAGAAAACAGAGGATTTTAATTTTGTCAAAAAAGAAAAGCTTACTAAAGTCGGACTTAATAAATGAATAATTAATTCATAAAAACGGTTGAATTGTCTTGATATTGACCGTTAACAATAATAATTAATAATAATCTTTAGTGTGACGATAAATAAGAATCTACAAACGTGAAACTTTCACAAAAGTAAGAATACGAATAACAGAAATACTACTAACAAATGTTATAAAAGCTAGATTATTGAAATGTGCTGTGTTTTTCGTAAGCTGTCAAAGTGCCAAGTGCTACGATCAAATTTCTGACTTGTTTATTTTTTGCCTGCTTCGAAATACCTTTGATAGGAAAGTAAAATCTCTCTTCCTTTTTTCAAAAAAAAAAAAAAGTATTAAATGGTAAATAATTCAGAATAGATTGAATGCTTGGACATACAATCACAAAGTTCATAAGCACAATATTTCGATGACCAAAGAAAATAATCAAAAAAAATCAAAAGAAAATCAGAGTTTTGAACACTCTACAGTCTGGTCAGCTGTCTAGTCTCAGTTTCCAACCGTGAGTGACCGAGGCATCCGCGTGGCAGCGATGTGCGCAGAAGAGCAGTTTTCGTATGACTGTAAAAAGCTTACGTAACGAACACGGTCGTATCACGGCAATAAATAAGCTAGACCAATCCYATTGCAAGAAAATTTACTCTCCATCCAGTCAAATGCCCGAAACACGGCATGAACAAGGCGCGGACACGGTCACTGAACTGTAAGACCAATCATATTGCGCGAGAAAAAATYCCCCAATCAARAGTCTAGAAAACATCCCGGCGGYGGCAAGACACATATACGGCACCAACGTTTTTACATAATGCGAAARCAGCTCTAATAGTAGTCTGAAAAAGTCCTACAAAGTATATAGTGTTAAGCTTTGATACGTATGTAATCAAGTTATGTTGTTYCTTTTCCGTTTCTTAGACACTTGGGCTCCCTGTGTTCACACACCACAGGTAGCCCGCTAAAGAAACAGACGAGAAAGGCTCGAAGCGCCTGCAGAGGAGGCTAAAGTCGATCCGCACATTAAATTGTACCCTCAACTTGAAAACGAGGACGGGAAACAACCTCTATAGCTCAATTTTTACTTTTTCTCTACTTGTAGAATCTTCCATTTGGTAGGGAAACCCTCTTGTTCGAAAAAAATGACCCTTGGCTAAATGGCCAATTTTTTTTCATCAAAGCGCTTCTGTAACGTCTTGTCTGAGCATGAGCATCTCTGATCTTACCGACCGCCTGGCRCGGTAAGACTACAGCCAATTATTGCCTTTGAACGCACGGTAAAATTAGTTCTCGTACAAAATGTAAAGTTGATACAAGTGACTTTTCTCCATGGAAATACTAATTAGTTTGAGTTTTTACTTTAAGATAAAACGACCCCATCCAAAATGTGTCTCGAACCAGAAAATAAAAAATAGGGTTAAAAGGTTTAGATGATACTAGCACGGGTTTCGTATGACTGGGAAACGATCTGACAGTATTTCGTAGCCTTACTGTAGACGTAACGTACGYGTCCTACCGTATCCGTAACAACGCGTTGCGATTGGATGAGTTATTGGAAGACAATGGRAAGTCATTTCAATCTTACGGCATGTCGTACAGTACAGTGTGCTGTGAGCCACTATATAGTTTTCTCACTCATATGATCATGTGATAACCATTCTTATGGGAAGCCATTTCAATGTCACGCATGTCCTACATTGTATGTAAATCAGCACCGTACGTACGTTTCTYACTAGTACTGATATGATGACCGTTCTTATAAGAAGACATTTCAWTGCTACGGCATGTCRTACCGCGTGAAGTGCCAGTACCGTATGTTTCCCACTCATAYGAAAACCACTCTGAACAACCACAACAAAATTATTAATTGCTTGTTTAGTTTTTAGAGTAGAACCAGAACCCGCCCAGTTAGACTGGTCTTGTCGATGTCATTCTACGAGCTTCCATTGACCTGATCTCGTTGCAAMATGACAATAAAACACTACAAAATATAACAAAAGCACCTGTTTCTCACAGGTACTACTCATCCAAAAACATCGACATTTTTAGATGTTTATTTGATAAATTTGTATTATTACTCAAAATTACTCATTTGATGGAATTTTTATGTTACCACGTGTTTCCTTGGCATTTCTTCTCGTTCCCACCTACTGCCGCCACAGTCATAAAGCTTCTAAATGTGACATGACACTGTTCGTTTAAAAAATCGATCGGACCGTTATATATATGGTTCCAAAATTCCAAAAATAAAAAGCATTTATATAAAGAATTTGAAGAATAAATGGTTTGAACCCAGGTGTTGAAGCTTGTTGTGAAGTGAGTTGTTGTTTCTGGGTGAGTGTAGTCTTGAGAAAGACTGTTATTGGTGATTAGGTTGTCGAAACATCAGTCACAGGTTTTTCTTACTATACCACAGTCGTCAATSGGACGATCACACTTCACAGMMATTATAACGAGTTCTTTTCCCCTATAGCAAAATTTGCTATTGTGTTTTGGTATAATTCACGTCATYAATACCGTTTWTCACTTTAYTTTAGTGGTTTTCTGAACWAATTGGCTCGTAAATGCKTTTCCAGTTTAGGAGAGCTCTATTCGATCGTGTCTGGGAGCCGCTCTTGACATTCAGGTTTTCTCCAAGCCAGTTTACGACTGTTTCAGAACTGCGATTATTTAACTTTATAATAGCCTTTGGTTGTCCATGGCATTAGTGAGAGTGGGCGTCTGAGCATATTAACTTACGGTATAACCAAATTTTATTTTTTAGTCAGCACGGATGGATGGATTTGAACGTATCCAGATTGGTAATCTGTGATGTGTGAATATCAACACTACTTGAAATTTCCTTTCATCTTTTGAGAAAGTACTTGAAATGGGTCAGTAATTTAAATGACTAAAACCACTCTGATAGATAGCTACGGGAAGAAATGGTGATGGATTGTTATTTTTTATTGAAGGATAAAAGTGGTAGTGATGGTGATGGTCAGTCGCTTTGATGGTCAACGCCACGCCAAATATGGCCGCCTTTCCCGCCCTGGAAATAAAGATTAGARCAACCATATTTTCCCATCAAAACTCCACGGTGTCGGTTTTTAAAGCCATTACTTCAACTTTGGAATTCCAAATCAAAAATGAAAAATAAAGTTGACTTGAAGTGTGAATTACCAGTTTTGATAGATAAAAACAAATATTGTTGATCATTGCCATGGAATTATAAACCAATGTCTGCGTATCAGATTGAATGGGCTTTTCACCTCTTCTTTCATTAAAATCCCCCCTCCCCCTCCCCCAAGGAAATGAAACAAAAATCTAACTGAAATTATTTTTTTTGGACACTTTTTATTTGTTCTTTCAGGCTTTTTCAATGTTCTTATTCGAGGGTAGGGAATCATGGTGCTATGGTTCACCGACTATCACGTCTAGATAATAAGGATCACTGTCAAGTTTTGGTTCCAACTTGCAGGTAAAACCATCAAACTCAACAGGTTGTCGTGTCACGTGACCAAGACTCCATGACCAAATAACCCCTATTTTCTGCCTAAATTTCAAAATATATTCCTTAAAATCGAACAACGATCAAACAATGGGGTATTTATCAGCAAAGAAAGTTGATTTTGACTCAGTTTTCTTCAGCAGTAAGGGCAAAAAAMCAGGATTTCTTACTTGTCGAGAATCAGTGAACGAGAAATTGCCTCAGTAAGTTTTGAATAATTCAGATGACATGAGTCGATGACCTGAAGCCTTTGGGATGACGATTGCCTTTGAATTATTGATCAATTCTTTGTTTCCATAAAACGTATTATGTGAATTTTATGGTTATTCACTTGAACAGAGGCCCGGTTTGGATTAGCTTCCGATTGAAGGTAAAACGATTTTCCTCTCTCCACCATATTTTTTTATATACAATACCTTTTCTCTTATGTAGATAACCATAAACGTTACTCACTTTAAGATCTAAGACTCAAGTTCTCAATTTTATGAAGAAATTTTCAATTTTAAATGTTATATTCACTTATGTTTGCCAAAAGCTACCATATTGGAATAATCAGAATTGGTTCATAAGCAGACCAACTTTGAAAATAGACGTTCACTTATGTGGCTTTTTCTAACCTTTCTGATTAGTGATAAAAACTCAACGATTTTTAAAACGTTTTAAAAACTCGATGAGAAAGCTTTTGATATTTGAATTCAAAAAGCTTYCACTCAAGAGTTTTTGTACTATTGTCGGTACCTAATATCTGGTTTAAACTATGATTAACTTTAGAAAAAAGACACGTTATAAAATCTTATTGAGCTAATTTATTTTATTGGCAACAGGATGGCCTCCAAACTTATATTTATCGCGCTAGTCGCCTTGGCATTATGTTTTTTGGTAGAAGCAGGAAAACACCCAAAAGCTAACAAAGTTAAGAAAGGTAAGTTGTCTACAATGACCCGTAAAATGTTTCTATATCACGTTACTTGCTTTAGGTTTCAGCCATTTTTTTTACAACTAGAATCATCGTGGTTCATATCTTTATCAATCATATTTTATTATATTTTATTAGAATATAATTATATAAAAAGATCAAGTTAAATGGTGTCTGGGTTAGCTAGTTGGTTGGCACTTTCATTAAGAGAAAATTCACATAAGRTTCATCTTAGAACATAGCAGGGACTTGCCTCATGATTTATTTACAACGATAGAGTTTTAGGAATCACGTGAAAGCTTAAAGAGTAAACAAACTTGTACCTGCTCAGGTTTTCAAAATAAACTGGATGTCGATTAATATAGAGAGAAAATAGCCTACGTACTGAATGAATAGTAATTTGATTGATGGAAGAAATCATTTTAAAAAAGTTTTTGTAAAAAAAATGAACGTTATGAAGCCATACCTTTTTCCTCTTCAATGTCTAAATACGTGTCAAAATGGCGGAAAAATTGAAAGGGATAATGACTTGATAATGTCTGAAAAGGGTTTATTTAGTATTGTATTAATCCTTTTTGGTCTTTGACTGATTGTAGCATCAGCTAAACACAGTAAGGGATCAAAGAAATGTGTAGGTCAGTGTGCACCAGCATGCGCTCCCCCATGTGCTCCTCCAGTGATGATGCCAGCAGCTCCAGTGATGATGCCAGCTCCATGTGCACCACCACCTGTGCCCTGTGCACCCCCACCAGAGTGCCATACTTATAGCCAACAGGTTCACGAGACCCACCATCAGGCTCCAGCTCCACCACCACCATGTGCGCCACCACCAATACCTCCAGGTCCACCACAGGTCATCACCCACCAACATAATATTATCCATCACAAGATTCTCCCACCTCCTCCACCACCACCACCACCACCATGTCCACCACCATGCCATGTTAGCAATGTGCAGCACCACGTAAGCCACGAATGGGCCCCTGCCCCACCACCACCAATGGCACCCTTACCAGGACCACCAGCTCCACCCCAACGTATCCACCACGTACATACCATTGTCCACCACCACGTCCATCCTCCACCACCACCCCCACCACCACCAGTTTGCATGCCAGCCTGCATACAGACCTGCGCTCCATCTTGCCCCATACAGTGCTGCAAGAAGAACAAGGTAACTAAAATACCATTGCAATCGGAGAAATTCCACTAATAATTGCGATAATATAAAAAAGATGAAAAAATAGACGTCTCGAGGATGCACAGTGAAAAGTTTATTACGACACAACTTTTGTCGCTGAACGTTTTTTTTTAAAAAAGGTCCCCGCATTAACTATTACCTTGTACATGACTTAACAATAGGATTAAGTGCCTGTTTCAATTAAATTTAATGTGGGTTTCTTCTAAACCATTTTGTCTCCCATTCCTCAGGTGACGGGCAAGAAGGCTAAAGACGTCGAAGCCTCAGCTGAAATTGACGACGATGAAGATGATGCTAGCGCTGCCGTAGATGATGATAAAGAAGACGACAAGGCCGAAGACAAGGCTGAAGAGAAGACGGTAGAAAAAGCAGTAGAAAAGGAAGATGAAGAAGTTGAGAAAGACGATAAACCTAAAGCCCCTAAAACCAAGAAGAACTAAGTCACTTTTCTAGGTCAAAAATGTCTTCTACGAAGTTCTCACATTTTATCTGAAAGCGGATTTCGTTAAGGAATCCCTGTTTGTAAATGCTATCCCGTGTACATCAACTGTGTACGTATAAATTCTAGAAAGTTTGACAAACTAGATGATGTGTGCTGTAGAATATAAGTAGTCGTTTCGCTGGTTAACGGCTATAGCGAGAACGAAGTAATGTACAAATAAAACATTATTGTTTTACGAAAAACTTGAAAAGACTTTTTTATTGCTGGTTTTAAACTTCATCTTGATTTTTCAGTTCATCTCTATTCAGATCTGGTTTTGAGCCTGCATACAAAAAGATGTCGGCGTCAATTTGTATGACACCAAAACATAGCTTATTRCTATTTTTCCTTTTATGTTCTATCAAATGTAAAGCACATTATTGTGTCTAACGGGAAAGATTTCTTCCAAAGTAGTTCTGAACTGCATTAAGACAATACACTATAACATAATCATAAATTTTACTTAGAAGAGCATTAAAGGGGTAACGAGTTCTCCAGGTTCTCCAGTTTTCCTCCCTTTGCAGAAGGCAACATTTTAAAGTCAAGTTCAATCTGCGAGCTAGCTCAGAATTCCACAGAGATATTTTCAGGTTGAATACAATTGAGGCTTTGTTGGTATAAACAAAGTACAAATTTGAGGGGTTTTTTTTGGTGTAAACAAACTACAATTTCTTTGTGTGTAAACAAACTTGACAAATTTGGGGTTTTTTTGGTGTAAACAAACTACAATTTCTTTGTGTGTAAACAAACTTGACAAATTTGGGTTTTTTTTGGTGTAAACAAACTACAAATTTTATTAAAAAGTCGCCTCGCGGACAGGGGACAGCAATATTTCTGCAATAGGTGTGGACTTTTACTCAATATTAATTAAAGAACTAAGTTTATTCTTTGCTTTAAGCAGCTTTATATTAATACTGATTAAAAGTAGCTGTTAAAACAACTGAAGCTAAAACAACTGATAGCAACAAAACAATTGATAAATAATTGTTACCTAATGATTAGCATGTTGAAACTTATGGCAAAACTAACTTATACAAAATTCATATCTATTGCTTACAATAGTAGATAAACTATGTTTTCTCAACTTGGTTGAATTGGCTTCTAAAAGACTCTTTATATTAATTATCGAGCTGCAATTCACTAGTAGGCACTAGTAGGCAAAAAAAAAAAAAAAAAAAANTTATCGTATGTATTCTTAATTCAAATATATTTGTTATATATATGTCCCTTGCAAGAAATCGTCAAGAGCTCAAAAGCTTRTTATTTATAAACTATTACATCGAAGCAGGTATTAGACCGAGTTTTAGTAATAACTGTCCTTCTATAACTACAACTTCTTGAGTGACTGCTGGCGAGGATCAGTAGATCATCTTGTGAAATCGGCTTTTAGTCTAGCCTGAACGTTAACAGACAACACTGACCTAGGTCTATCATCTATATTAGTCCAAGTCACCAGCGATTCAACGTTTAAAAGGATGTATTGCTCCTATAAAATTATGGCTTAACTTCTTTTTTCTATGAGAACTAACTTCAGAAAAATATCTTCTGTGGCAACAAGTGATAATGTTATAGCTGTGACGAAATCCATTTTCCTTTTATATACTTCTAATAACTTCCAATATTAAACCAAATGTCAATTTTATCAAWCCTTGGAACAACCTTTGGGCAGACTAATCAGGGCATGGCTAATTTTCAGATTGAACCGAAATGTAGGATCGATGTTACACAACCTAAGGTCGTTATGCAACCACATGGTCAGCCACATTTCTGTTTTGCTATTTCTTTTCCAGTCAGTTAGCATTTGTAACGGGCCAAAAGGAAAAAAAATCTACTCTTGAATTCTGTAACTGTGTCGAGTTACCATTAATAGACACTGGTGCCTCACAGAGGTTTAACTTTAACATATACACCATATAACTGATGTTTACACGGTGCATGGATTCTTCATTGCAAGGTTCAGACCAGTTTTTGAGTTCTAAGTGTCGCTTGAAACTCTTTACGTTCAAGTACTTCAAGATTTCAAATCTTCAGACATGTTTAAATAACAATTACTTGGATTGGACCCGTGTTTCTGTCGATGGCTTGTTAAAGGAATCACTTAAGGGGTCACAGRTATCCGCCTACTTTTTCGCCTTATTTCTTTTATTATTTCCAATTTTTTCCCTGAAAGTCGTATTTTTATTACAGTAGATAAAACGAATAATTTTYAAAGCAAAATATAATTAAAATTCAAGTTTGGAAGACGTTTTTGACTTAGTCTTTAATATTTATTTCTTTTCCTGCCGTCAAAGCCACCAAAATCCTACAACAGGCACCGGTAACACGGTTTGTCATTAAGATCAAAATAAAATTGTTATTGAATACCCTCAATGAAGTTTTGCAGGTAGAATGACAGAAGATACCCTCAACCAAGAAAACTAAAACAACTTTGACAACCTTTGATAGACGWAATACTTCAAAGAATAATAAGAATAAAGAATACTCTTTCACACTTTGTTCCTTAACTTGGGGTGTCATCGCTTTGTCGGTTAGTGATCCATAAAAGTAAAAGGAAGAAGGCACTGATTTTTGACTTTGTGTTTTTCTTGTTTTTGACACTTCAACAAAAGCCCAAAACGTGAAATTGTGTGTAAGATTGCGGTAGAGTGTGAAAGAGTATGACCTCATCGGTCAAGTGTCACTTTGTTGGAAACAAGTCATTCGTGAGACATGATGTCAACATGGCTACGCAGCGACCATGAACTAATGCTACCCGTTAGTCCATGTCACATGACCCAATCGTAATGATCAGCCAATCAGGATTAGCTTGGAATAGCAACAGTGAACACAGTCACCCTTGCTTATAATTTATGACTTTTGCATTCTAAAGCAACCCACATCCAAAGGAGATCATTCATCGGACTTGCTTATCCACTTAAGGTAAGTTTATCTCTATCTTCTAAGACTACAACTCTTATTACTAACCTRGACTTATCTGGTTGTATCATAAACATCATACTGTCTAGAAGTAAGTAGTTTTTCCCCAACTACTTAATCAATTTTATTCGTTCTATGGATTCCTTATTCCATTTACTCGCGACGTCTTACAACACTTCTTGCCACGGTTGTACGACAACCATGAGAGCCCATTAGAACAGAAAACTTATCAGGTTATCTATATCTTTTTCTTCTTCATTTATTTAGATATATATAATGGCTCGTGTAGCAGTCTTACTCTTAGCTCTCGTTGTGTGCGTAAGCGCCAACCCAATGGGTAAGTTAATTTTGATCGATTTCGTAAGACATCATTTCCATCCACTAATTTCTTATCGCTAATTACTTGTTTTCCTTATATAATTTATCTATTTAAAACGCAACTCAACTGTAGTCAAAGTTGTACAAACTTAAATTTTAGCAATTTTGACTTCAAGTTCTTTTACTAAACTAGACATTATGATCATTTCATAAAGGGATTTCAATTCAATACAATGATTCTTAATTCAGAACTTTATTGATTTTGGCAACAAGATCTAGGATATCGTAAGAATAATAATGTAATCAAAAATCTGAGTTATCGTCTAAGTATTAGATAGCTCATTTTCTAGACTAATCTGTTCCATAATACATTAAYGATTGTCTATACTAATATAAACGTTTTCTGAAATCCCCTTTAGGTTTTAAGGAATTATAACTATGTGGGGTAGAACTGATTATATAACTAAAAATGATCGAATCTCAAAATCTCAACGAACATAAACAATATCAACAGGTACCAGAGATAATGATCAACCTGCCAAATATATCATTATAAACTCAGAATGACAAATTTTCAGAACACAAAATGGCAGCATCATCATTTCTGGTGCCTTATGGAGTTAACACAATTATCAGAATGAAATTAAAATAGTTCGTACAAAAATAAAAATAAAAATATAATAATAACGTAGTCTTATACAAAGTTAATTGTAAAAAGTATTTTAATACGTGAGTTGCTAAAAGCAATTTAATCCTGGTCCATATCGTTACTAAATCATAAAGTCACTCAGAAAAGTATGCTGCATGCCCAATATTAATTGAGTTTTTTTTATTCGTTCCAATAGTCAAGAGACAAGCATGTGGATTTGGTTGTGCTCCACCATCTTGCTCGTACGGATGTCCAACAATGTGCTGCGCTCCTCCCCCTCCTCCCCCACCCCCACCACAGATGGTCAACCACGTGACCCACGTCCACCACCATAACATCCACCACCAGGCTCCTATGGCCCCTGCCATGCCCGCCCCACCCATGCCAGCACCTCCACCAGCTGTTGTCCAGAGCCAGCAACACGTCTGGGAATACGTCCCACCACCACCATGTGCCCCACCATGTGCCCCAGCCATGCCCATGCCCATGCCTATGCCCGTGCAAGCCCCATGTGGAGGACCATGCGCTCCAGCTGCCAACCCATGTGCCCCAAGCTGCTCACCAATCTGCTGCAAGAAGCGATCTGGATAAAACGTTTTACCCTTGACACTTGACGTGACAAAATACAAATTATGCGACAAGACTTTGAAAGCCTTTTGGCTTAAAAATGCTTGGCGCATTTGTACATTGCATTTGCTAAGAGCGAATTTAGAAAGAGCTTGTAAGAGCTACACGATGGTTGTCTGGTGTGGACACTTTTTTCAAGTACATAATGTAGTTTTATTACGATACAAAGAAACACTAAACCACCGTAGTCGTGCTGCTCTAGGCACGTCATAGTTTGATATTGTGACAATATACATGACTGTATGTAACACGACTGTGTAATAAAGTGAGTAGTAGAAGTTCAAATACTCTGTCTCTTTATTTTATACAACAGTAGTCTTAAGCACAGTTTCACACAACCYTCGATTATTCAACAGATAGACGAATAGTAGGGAACTATTGCCTTCCTCTCCCCCAGTCATTGATTCCCACCCATATATCTCAAGTATGTACCACACTATTTTACTAGCCTTGAAAATAAACACATCGAGTTAAAAAACACTCACAACAAGTTGAAACGAAACAGGGTTCGACTGTAGAATGCCCTGCAATAGTRTTTGGACATGTATACTAAACGCGACTGCCATTCGTTTATACAGACACTGCCAATGGTCCAGTGCATGCAATCCCGTCCAGTATGTTTTCTATGGCAGCTAGCAACATTGCATTTTCATTTTATCACACCCTTTTCCAATGGATATAAGCAGTATTAGGCATACGAGTTGAGCTGATTTGTTATTTTTACATGAGTGCTTTTCTTGGGAAGCATGGGTGGCGTAGCGGTGAGAGCGCTCGCCTCTCACCAATGCGACRGGTTCGAGTCCCTACGAGCTCGGTGTCGTATGTTAGTTGAGTTGTTTGTTGGTTCTCTCCTGTGCTTCGAGGGTTTTCCGGGTTCTCCGGTTTTCCTCCCTTCGCAAAAACCCACTCCTAAATTCCAATTCAATCTTGGGCTTTCACCTAGCATGGATCTGAGGGTTCCGTTCGTGATTGTCCCACTCTGTGATTACAGAGACAACTGATAGATTCCTCGATTAATAAATCCCTAATTCTTCCTCATTAAAATCGTTGTTAACTCTTGTTATCAGTGTTCTACTTTGGGCCAGACTCGGAGACATTCGGCWATTTCTTTCATTTCCCAATACTCCGAGTATACAGTGAATATTTATAATTTTYCCCCATTACTATTCAGCTGGTGGGTGTGACATTAACCCAAGTTTCAAGACGAAAATAATGGCAAAACTAGTTTTTTTTTGCTGCTCATATTATTCGAATTTCAGAGCTACGGCAATGGCTACCTTTCAACGTCTTTGAGTTGATCGACAGAGAAAACCGCATAACGAATATTCAGAGGAAGCTCGCTGTAAAGTAAGAATTAACATTATATATAAAGTGTATTTTCACTTCAATGAGGTCCACATCAGCTTTAGCTGCCATCATAGTTAATGGAGCAGAATGGTTAGGAACCTTATTGTTCTATGTTTTTGTTCGTCTTKWTTCATTGTTATATGACGTTGACTGTGCACAGTGAAGGAAAAGTTTCTCCATTTGTTCACAGTATTAGGGAATATAAAAGTTTTTWAATCTTAAAAATCGTTCTAAATATGCATTATTYGTTGATTAATCCTATATGATTAATATTAATTGTTTATTGAAAATGAAATTGCCCTTTTTGATGCTTTCTTGTTTATCATCTAGTAACTTAACTGTATTTGCGCGGAAATATTTATATGGTTTTTCGTCATGGAATGAAAGTTTTCAAAATAATAAGGCAATGAGCATTTTCAGCTATACTTGCTTTGGTTCATTGTGCACCGTCACTTGATGGTACGRTTCAACATCRAASGSAAAACAATAGCTTTRTTCTATGGAGTTTCCAAACCATTCCGCTCCATTAACTATGCTGCCATTTTATATCCTGATTCTGTTTGCAAATAAAGTATGTAAAAGTATGTATGTACTTAATTTAATACTCTTCATTCTGCTTTTTTTGATAACTTTTTTTTTGAAGATGATAAACTCTCATAGGCGAAGAGAGAAATTTTATATTGTATTCAAAACAAATTGCCTACCTGTTTGAGAGAGAGAGAAAAAAACCGTTATAACTGGTATTCAAGARGAATATATTAAAAATATAATTAAAAAAACTGTAGCCCGAATACTCTTCAAAGTAGATAAATTGTAATCTGATAACAACAGTATCCATTAAACCAAAAAAAAGTTAGAAAAATCTTGTTTTAATAATATCAATAAAAAAACAATCTTAAAAAATAATAAGAAGAAAAAAACACTATTTTATGAAAAACCTAATGTTTTATTCTTATAAATTTTCATTCAACAGATTATTATAATTTTTTCAACACAAACTTGATTTTTTGGGGCAACAAATAACGAGCACTTTACTTGCAGAATCCAGCACGAAGTAAATTAATGGTAGTGTTTTTTTAAAGACCAAAAAGTTGTTTTAATGTTGGCATTTTTACATGAATTGTAAATTCAAGACACTTGAATATCGCAATTACTATAATATAAAATTCGTTTCAATTCAAACAGTTTATGACTTTCTGGGTTTGAATTTACCTTGGACAAACTATAGCATTTAATAGTTTGGACAAAAAATGGCGTACGTTTTCGATGACAAAAGCTATATATTAGACAATGCCGGGACCTTTTGAGAATTATCTCGAATGCAAGGCATTCAAGAAAATATTAAAGAAATGTCACAAATTCCATTGAGGAAAAAAAAAAAAAAGATTAATTTTGGTATTTTTATTTTATTCTTGCCTTCAAGATAATTTCAAGAGAGGACAATTGAAACCCTGAAAKCGTCTTCATTCAACGCTTGGAGTAACACACGAATAAGAAATGAAAGACTAGAGTTTTCAACTTGAATGACTTTAAAGAAAATGTCACGTTTTTGTCCAATGACCAAACACGGCCATCGATCAGTAAAAGGTGTTTATATTATTGTTTGTATTCCTGGCACCGTGGCTTTAATTTTCAGGGCATTAACATTGAAGGGAAAGTTACAACSCCTTTATGATTTCAATAGTTTTCAAACGCCTTTATTGTCTAACTTGACAAAAATATCTGCAATGATCAATCAACCTGAGGACATGGAAAAATTTCCCCCAATTTTTCGCTAGAATGATTGATTTTTTGGTAGCAATGTTTACAGCTACAACTCATTATGAAAGACTATAAAATAAGGTACAAGTAACGAACGCCAGATGCGAGTGGTTGGTTTTTGAARCAACAGGTCATGAATGAATAATAGAAAAGGTTGTTCCATGAGCTATGAACCAGGATAAAATAAGATGACCTAGTCCCGTAAGCTCGTGATCAACCGTATCAACTGCCATTTATGGAAGGCACATGCATGAGTAATTGACATTAGCCAATCAGAAACAAGTGTGATTATAGACTTCCGAAGCAACTGTGGTTGAGCGAAAAGGTACTTGTTAGTTGCAGTAGCCCTGTGAGGAAAGGAATCTTTCAGGGACTTAACAGGTGAGGTATATCGCTTTCTTAAAATCGCTATCTGAAGAGGTTATGTGTTTAACTCGTCTTGTCGTTATAGTAAAGAAAGAAATGACAATTTCTCGTAAAAAAACATTGATTTTCTGACCATTTCTTACATACTTATCAACATCCCTCTAGTATCAGACTCTTACAACGAAACGAACTCCTTTTTCCTATCTTCAAGTCATAATTATAAACCTTATTAGTATAACATTCACTCATTCTTTTATTTTTGTATTTCGTGTCTTTTTAATGGCMGTAGCTGTAGTCATACGGCATTTTCGATTACACTGAAAATTTAGAACTGAAAATGCCATACCAAATGACTTAATGATAAGGTCACTCAGACAGTGATCTCTTGTATGGTATGATGAACTTTAACTTTGCACACTCTTACCATTATAGGAAAATGCGTTATCCATATATTCGTGTCGTATAATATAATATAATCTAAATTGAAAATTATTTTCCATTTCAAACCACAGGTTGTTAAACAAACTAGAATGTTATTCTGAGTCGGTTATTTTATTTTCAATTATTACTAACATTGTTGTTTTCTTTCCATTTCAGAAGTATGGATTTGCGACTCGTATTTTTGGTAGTTGTGGCTGTTGCCGTGTGCACAGAAGCCAAGAGTGTAAAAGGTATAGAACACCTTCAAAGCTTATCTATACCCTGAAACAACCTCTGAGTTGAGCCAAGTCAGGGCACGGCTTACATACCGGAAAATATATCTCTATTGTTCTAGTCGTGATACGGGGGGTCGCTCCCGAGTTGTCCTAGCCCAAACTCACTAACGTTGATATTAAAACTCAACTATAAAATCATTTATTTGTCATAATCAAAAGTATTTCCTAATAGCCATCTTCGATTCTCGTTGATGTTTTTTTAGGTCTTTTTCAATAATACTTGAMCAATGTTGATTCAGTGTCATGAAGATAATAAACTATGACGGATAAACAAGCTTTAGTCCGTGAAACGCACAACAGAACATCACAATCAAATTTCCGATTTTCTTTTCATAAATTTTAGYTGTTTTCTAAATTTTCAATGTCTCTCAGTTGATTTTGAAGGAAAAGCTGTCGAGTCGTTTTTTTTCTCTTGACCTGTGTTTCTGTTATGATTATGATATATAATTCAACAAGTGCTCCAATGTGTGTTTGATTTGTTTATCGAGGCACCCGAAGCAGGTACAATTATTACAAGACCAGAAAAGAGATGTTTGATGATTTATTGAAGAAGACTTGCTACATATTATATTACCTCTAAACCAAATAATTTTTTTTTTACAAATCTTTGTGAATTTATGATTAAAAATTATGAACTGTTTTGTCGACAGGAAACAAGAAATGTGGATTTAGCTGTGCTCCTACTTCGTGTGCACCATCTTGTCCAGTGTCATGCTGCACTCCTCCACCACCACCTCCACCTCCACCACCACCACCACCACCACCACCTCCACCACCACCAATGACTCTTCACCATCACCAACACGTTGTTTCCCACATAATGCACCCCGCTCCTCCACCACCCCCTCCACCACCACCAGCACCATGCATGCCACCATGCCATCAGCAGGCTATCTCCCACGCCATTCAATATCATGCTTCTCCACCTGGACCTCCACCAGCACCAATGCCAGCTCCTCCACCAATGCAAATCGATAGCCACCAACACGTCTTTACACATATAACCCACCCTGCTCCACCACCACCACCTCCACCACCACCAGCACCATGCATGCCACCATGCCACACCGTGCAGACCGTCCACCAGCACGTCCATCACTTCCCTCCCCCACCACCACCTCCATGCCCAGTGCCATGCCCAGTGCCATGCCCAATGCCATGTGGTAAATAAATCTGACAATTTATTAAACAAGCGTTTATCAGTCCCGTGGACTTTGGATCGATCACATCAAGACTGGTACAAAGTACTACAGTGCTACCGTTGTTTTACTTCAAAACACCTCATAGAATTAGGTGCTGGATTAGAAACCAAGCGAGAAGACTGACGACGTTTTTGGAACATATTTAGCTTAGTGACAATGACATTCAACAAGGAGAACGACAAGTGCACATACTTTTCTTTGTAAATAATTGTACCCAGCTGTACCGCATTATACCTATCATGGTCATTGTTTACGAAGCTGCAGTTTGGGGCGTGTATTTTAGAAGTTAAAGTGAGTGTCCGACCTGATCTCGTTTCGCCAAGTATCGTTGTGAAAATAAAAGTTGAAATATTTCATGAACTTTGTCTTTGTATTAACTCTTTCGTAATAAGCTATTAGTTTAAGGTTACAATTTTCACAAGAAAAGTGAAAATAGTAGAAATTCAACTTCAATTTATGTTTTCAATATCGAGACATCAAAAAAAAAAAAAAAAAATATCGAGACATCAAAAAAAAAAAAAAACATTCGCAAAAAAAAAAAAAAGTTGGCGGGAACTTTTGGTACAAACGCGCCAACTCAAACCAAGCCCCTCCCACCTTGGCTTTGACGTAAATTTACTTAGGCCTTRGGTGAAATGAGTGAGTAGAAATCCTTCTTTGAATTGGAAACAGTTTCTGCAGCCTTTGCCGATTTTTTTCCGTAAAAACGGAATAGGGAAAACGAACGTCGAACTGCTGGAGTTGGTACTTTTACTAAGATTTGTTGACGAAATGCGGATCTTGATGACAGACGAGGAAAAAGCTGGTTTTTTTAATGAGTTTAGTTTATTCAAGTTTTCATAAAAGCTCTATTGTCAAAATGAATTACTTCATCYTGCCCACCTAACCTTTTCGCTCGTGTTTTTGAAAGATAGACCTCTTTAGCTTGGGCATAATGTTTTTTCCCGCATTTTAGACCACGTGTCATTCTCTTGAGGATAAGATTCTTTGTTTGACTTGTATCCATGCATATTCGTGCGTCTTTAAATACACAACCGGRAAATCAGTACTACTCTAGRGAATGACACGGGGCCCTAAATTAGGGAATGACACGGGGTCCTGGGTTAGGATTTTGTGTCGGGAAAATAAAAGACATCTATTGCCAATCTCAGATCTCAGGGTGCACGTGCACCTCCCCATAAAAGCTTAAGGTCCGCTCATCCATGTCCTTTTTTTTTTTTGGTTCTGCTTTCTTTTGGTTACCTTTTTTTCTTTTTGGTTCTGCAAATTATTGCCTGTGCACCTCCCTGCAAGATCCCTAGTTACGACACTGTACTTTACAGTAACACGATGTATTTTGATCCAAAGGAGTGCTTTATTTGTCTATTGAATTCCAACAATTACTAAACGCTACATATTCAGCAAATAATCCAACACGACTACGTATTAATAAAATAATGTACAATAAATACCTCCCCATAAAATACGTTCATGCAGTCTTAGAAGTAAATCTGTGTCGATGTTAATACATGACAAATCACACACGAAAACTTCAGGCACATTAAAATATGTGCACATCAAATATTGGAAATCCACACAAAGAATTACAAGTATTTTATCATTCGCTGTACTTAATCTATAGGAATCGTTTTCCGGCTTGTTTGGCTACGAAGTTCAATATATTACAATTAAATATATTTGGTATCAAATCCCAGTTATTTATACAATTGTATCTTTAAATACAAATCTGCTTGGCTGGGAATGCTGAGTCATCATCTAAAATAGAAGATGAAGTCGTTTGGTCTTGAGGAAGCAATGTTTATCAGTTGTCTTTAGCTTCATCGTCTTCGTGTTGCTTAGATGGCCCTTAATTTCCCRTCCTCATCTCGCCCCTTTATTTCGAGATGTTAAAAAATGTCCTTATATTTGTATAGTGGTCGCTGTTTATTGGTTGGCTGTCGAAGTTTAAATTGAAGTTCGAATTCTTACTTTCTGTCACAGCATTCTGGCTTGCACTTGGGTGCGCAAGATCTAGAGCATGGGGCAGGGCATGTTTGGGGTGCCATAGGCATTGGAGGAGGCATGAACATCGGGGGAGGAGGAGGCATGAACATGGGGGGAGGTGGTGGCATGGGCATTGGAGGTGGGGGCATCATCATTGGAGGTGGGGGCATCATCATTGGTTGAGGAGGCATCGGCATGCCCATTGGTGCACCCTGGCAACATGATGGAGCACAAGAGGGCTGGCATTGCATTGGCATTGCAGGTGGCATAGGTGGTGGTGGAGGTGGTGGATTGCAGCATACTGGGCTGCATTTTGGATAGCAGGCAGATGGACAGCCTGGTGGGCATGGTGGWGGAGGCATTCGTGGTGGTGGTGGTGGTGGWGGAGGAGGAGGAGGGGGAGCTTGTGGTGGGGCACAGCAGCTGGTTTCTACGCATTGCTGTGGGCATGGAGATGCTGGTGGTGCCATGGACATGAAGTCGGTGCATTGTGGAGCACACTGCTGTGGGGGCTGCATCGGCATTGGAGGAGGCATTGGAGGAGGCATTGGGGGTGCCAATGGAGGGGGAGGTGGACCTTGAGAGCAGCAAGAATCAGTACACGAAGGAGCACAACTTGGGGCACAACTTGCTCCACATGGGGTTCCTGTGATAACAGAAGAACATATTAGATAATCCAT